TTGCTCCTAGCAGTAAGGCCAGGAGCCGCTAGTAGCGTCCTTGCTCCTAGTAGTAAGGCCAGGAGCCGCTAGTTGCATCCTTTCTCCTAGTAGTAAGGCCAGGAGCCGCTAGTAACGTCCTTTCTCCTAGTAGTAAGGCCACGAGCCTCTAGTAGCGTCCTTGCTCCTATAGTAGTAAGGCCAGGAGCCCCCAGTTGCGTCCTTTGTCCCAGTAGTAAGGCCAGGAGCCGCTAGTAGCGTCCTTTCTCCTAGTAGTAAGGCCAGGAGCCTCTAGTAGCGTCCTTGCTCCTATGGTAGTAACACCAGGAGCCCCTAGTAGCGTCCTTGCTCCTAGTAGTTAGGCCAAGAGCCGCTAGTAGCGTCCTTGCTCGTAGTAGTAAGGCCAGGAGTCCCCTAGTTGCGTCCTTGCTCCTAGAGCGTCCTTGCTCCTATTAGTAAGGCCAGGAGCCCCTAGTAGCGTCCTTGCTCCTAGTAGTAAGGCCAGGAGCCCCTAGTAGCGTCCTTGCTCCTGGTTGTAAGGCCAGGAGCCCCTAGTAGCGTCCTTGCTCCTAGTAGTATGGCCAGGAGCCCCTAGTAGCGTCCTTGGTCCTTGCTCCTAGTAATTAGTAAGGCCTGGAGCCCCTAGTAGCATCCTTGCTCCTAGCAATTAGTAAGGCCAGGAGCCCCTAGTAGCGTCCTTGCTCCTAGTAAGTACAGGTCCAATCACGTGCATATGTTCAAGAGTCTCCCCAGTGGACGAACTAGATGATTTTAAAGGGGTGCAATGATCGGTGGGGTGACATTCGGTTTGAACCAGACTTCCACATGGCAATCTCTACGGGAAGCCCTCGTGATTCCTTTTTCTTCTCATGGCCTCGGGCGCCTTCGACGGCTTCGCAGGAGGTGTGGGCATCCTTTCATCGTGCGCCTGGAGTACTTGGGCTGATGAAAGGATCGATGTCTCAGTCTATATAGTCTAGTCAAACCGCCTCAGTGGGTCCCAGTCTCAGTCGTTTGGCCACCACAAAAAGTAGATGATTTGCATTTAGACCATGATAATCAATGATATCATATATTAATATTCTTTCTTTTTGGGACATCAGGCCTTCATGAAACATCATGCACCCCTTTTTTTTTTGCTGATGGAACGTTCCTCCCAGCACAGTGAATCAGTGATTTCCACCGTCGAGCCCTCCTGTAGACCTCCGAATTTGTTTGAGATGATGCGAAACATTTTGGGCGGAGGAGGGATGAGAAGGGGTACAGTCGGGCACCAAGGAAGGCGTCGCTTTGCCCAAAAAAAGAACCACGACTTGACCACCAGGAGTTAAAAAGGAATGGTCTTTAGATGGTCTTAAGTTCCGAAGTGAGTGGATGTGACGAAGCCAGGGCACCTGCAAAGGGGCACCAGAAACAACTCCAACATTCCCCCCAGCAAGCTTTGTCTTCATAGCACCTATATCAAGAGGGTCGATGATAACTGCATGACTACATGAGGACCCATGAAAATTGTATCAATGATTGTGCATGGTCAGACTCCACCAGCAGCACCATCTCCCTACTCATAACTGGAAGGCACCTCATTTCCTTACAATGAGAGGGAATGCCTTGCTGGAAGGGGTGCAGGGTACCTTCCTGCAGGCATCGGGCATTTTTTTTGTGCGTTTCAGGCATCGTTGTGGCTTGGTAGACCTTACCATCTGAGGCAAGCCTTTCAGACGCCTCACTACTACGCTTTGCTCCTCGAGCTGTGCGCCTTGGATGCAGAGCGTGAGATGTGACGTGCTGAAGCCTGGACTCTCTCTCTCTCTGCCTTGTGCAGTTGTTTCTTCATTTTGTTGGGTGATGTTGATTTTCGCGGTTTCTGAGCGAATCCGGTATTTTTTGTTTTTGGATTCCCGGCTTAGACTTGCAGCAAAATCCTTGTCTCCTTTTTTTTTCCCCTTTTTCGGACCGACCATAGGTCACCACACACTCCTTAAGGTAACTATTCGACACGTCAAGGCATCTAAAAACTGTTGGCTGCGCTCCCCAAACCCATCTCAAAAACTAGATGCATGGTTTTGGGATGTGAAGATCCAGAAACCAGGGATGGCCACGGGATGCCACGGGCAGATTCCTTCTTCAGATGAGGCCCGAACGGCGACGTGAATCAACTGCTTTGCCAAGCCAATGAGCAGGGGCGCTACCCCGGACTGCCTCCCGAGCGTGCGGGGACCTGGAGGGGGCACCTGGCTTACTTCTGCAGGGTGTTGGTACAGTCTCTAAGTCTCTATCAGAATTGCTCTACAACTCGAGGTTCCGTTTTTTTTGTCGTTCTTCTGAGTCAACGTTGACACGAGCTGCTTCGAAATGAACATCATGTCAGAATGAAGGTCGACTGTCTCGGTACAGTGTGACACTGGAGTTACTCCAAACCTCCAACACATCGGAAGGGGCTGACCTTGAAGGCGCCCATGCGGCGAACATTCTTTGTGGAGTCATGACCGTGACCGGGACCGGGACCGTTTGGGTTTGCTCTGGGTCGAGACCCAGCGCAGAACTGGTGTTCTGGATCCAATCGGTGAAAAAAACACGAGTCGAACGAGCAGGGGTTTGGGCTGCGACGCCTGCGACACCTGCGATGCCCACGTCTGCCCATCAAAGCTTGTGGTGGATTCGGCACCCAGCTCCAGCATAGGCATGAAGCTTGGCCACTGGATGCGAGCAAGGGAACTCGTTTGGTGGCTCCATGGGAGAAAGGTGCAGCTAAGGCCAGTCCAAGTTTCGGCCTTTCACTGGCTGTTCCTGGAACCGGTTCCATTCAGACCTCCCATTGCTCGTGCATCGCCCCAGTCCTTGCCCAAGCCTTTCGGGTGGCGGACCTGGTCCGAGGTGCTGCAAGGTTGGCGGGACAGGTCTTGCTGGCCCTGGTGCATTTGCACGAGGCGGGGGCGAAACTGCCCGAGAAACTGGTTTTGGGGCCCCGCTACGACAGGCTCCCCCGGGTTGATGGGGTGTCTATAAAGAGCCATAAAGATTGAGGTTGATGACGGGGATTGAAGGGGTGTGAGCAGTGTGAACCACCCCAAGAGTGGGTGCTGGTAGCATTTTTGCAGGTTAAAGACATTGACTCCAGTGTAGCGTCAAGCGAACCTTTGTGAGAAAGGAGGCTTACACCCACCTACATAGTAGGGTACAAAACCTCTTGCAGCACATTGCACATGTTCGCTAAACTAGAAACAGGATCTTTGCGAGTATATACAGACTAAGTCGCACGGTTGAAAGAAGAATTCCCAGCAGGTAATTCGCGCCAATTCATCGTTCCTGGGGTGCAGACTACATCCTTTCAAGATCTTTCAAGGTAAAGCACTTAAAGGACTCATTGCGTTCACCCCACCCCCGAAACACCTACTGTAGAGACTCTGTCTGTACGTATTGAGGCTGTTTTGATCCCCGGATGTTTTCGCTTCCCACGCGACGTCCCGAGGACTATGGCATCATTTACCGAGACGTTAAGCCCAAGAACGTCCTCCTCTCCGCCCACGACGAGGCGAGTGTGATCGTGTGATCTCCTGGTCTCATGCGTTCACCGTGTCGAAGGAGGGTGGGTTCGCGGTGGCGAAACAACGTGAAGCACAAGACGTAGTTGGAGTTCGAGGTTTTTCAGCTTCCTGAAGCACACATGGGATCATCATCCCAATAAAACCCAATTTGAGGAAGCGCTTAGATAAACTGTTTTGAAGGTGTTTTGATGTGTGTTGGTTCCATCCAAGTTCTCGTTTGGGTGACCATGAACACCGACCCAGCTGGCCGCTGGCCCGTCAGATTTTCCAGCGGCGCTCTAGGCCAAGTTGGCCGACTTCGGCTTGGCCTTGTACGTGGGGAAGAAGTTCTTCAATGTTTCTTGGCCAAGCACGTCTGAAGAACTGCATGATGGGACGTGGCCTACGGTGTGGAAACCGTTTGGGAATGGATCAACACAGGGGAAGGTGATGAGGACACAACACAATATTTACAGTACAATTGTTTAGTTTGTTCAACATTTGGCCAGACTTTTTGTATTTGAACAAAAGGAGAAAGGCTTGGTTCTACGTGGGTGATCGACAATATTCATTTACTGTAAACGACCATCCCTTTTTTTACAGCAAGAAGGACTCTCTCTAAGTATTTTTTTGATTTTGGGCAAGACACCACGCCTTGGTGGTTTCTGGGACATGAGTCGGCCTTCTTGCCTTGGCGTGGGACATTTTTTGGGTCGTCTTGGATGGGCTGGTGCCTATAGCTTGTGGGGACCAGTTCTTGTGGAGAGTACGCGATGTCTGCAGGTTGCACTTCAGCCCTCAGAGGTCTTCTTCAGTGGGGCTTGGTGAAAGGACCAATGTCCGCCTTGGACCCTGATGTTGCACATCAACGTGATCTCGCGACCGAGAGGTCTGGGTAGGTCTATAGGAGAGATCTTCCCCTAAGTGCAGGAGAACAGCATGCCGCATGCCGCATGCCGCATGCCGAGCCCAAGCCATGGATTTAACCAGAGGCGAGCCCTCGAAGTGGGGCCTTGTGAAACTTGTGAGGCCCAGCCGGAGCGAAACCGTGCGAGTCGACCGAGCACGTGGAGTCGCACCGCGCAGCGGTGTACGAGTCAGCGTCGACCGCGCGGTGGACGTGTCGCGGGTTTTGAGCTGTGGGGAGAAGGGGTGGTGGTTTCAGCGCCGTCAGTTTGCTTCTTGGTGACCTGGTGCTGGTCGTGTGGAGAGAAGTCGTCGACTTGTGGCAGGCTGCTGCTGATTGGTTGGCAGGACATTTGTGGGCCTGTTGAACTGTTGTCCTGAAAGGCACCTGTGCTGTTGTATCAGAAAAAGTGCTGTCGATATATTTCCTCACCAGCGTTCCAGATCAGGCAGGTTGAGTTTGTAGAGGGAAGCTGTCGGACGAGCCCGCTCAAGAGGGAAACTGCTAACCTCTCCTGGAAGAGGTTGGCAGTGCGCGGTCATGTATGTTGTGAAGGCATGAAAGGCCAACACAAAAGAGAGGGTCGAGCTCGAAGTCTATGTCGAACCACCCTAATCACCAATGTTTTTTTCCCCCCCCGAAGGTTCTCTGGGTCATACATGCTGTTCATTGAATCAGCATGCATTCTTCAGCTTGTTGGGTTATATTCATTTGATGCAACACTTCGTCACCGTGGTGGCTTCAATATCGCCATGCTGCGCCATCCTTTAGCGGTTGTTGTTGGATTTTGTTTGACCATGTTTTATCATGTTTCATCCTGTAAGCGCCTGCGCTTGCGGTCAATTAAAACACACACACACACACACACCTGCATTCGTCAAGTATCCTTTCATTATCCTTTTATTTTGGGATTCTTTTTCGTGCATTGGGCATGAGGATGACCGGACACATGCACTTGCACCCCCAAACGCTGAAACACTGAGGCTCAGGCGATGCCTTTGGCGGGCACTCCCAGGCCACAAAATCTTTGCCGATCGACAGACTGACAGGGTGAGGTGAGTTGGGGGATTGGTGAATCTGCGTGAAGCGCCCTAAACCCTAACCTGGTTTTGCCTAAGGTGATTTCGTTTTTTTTGTATATATTTTCATATATTTTCCATACATGGTGATCGGTGAAATCCCCAAACCTGGGGATGATGTTTCCTTGTTTTCCAGGTTCCTGGACAGCAAATCCCAGGATGGCAGTCAAGAGGACCAAACCCATGCTCGCCGCACACCGTTTTGGCCTGGTGAGGATCATGGTCAGCTCGAGTTACCGCTGCAGCCCCAAACGGACCGCCCTCGGCAGCAGAAGCCGAACTTCTATTGAATTGATAGGGAGAGTTTGACTTGCCCGGCCCGATGGGCCAATGGGTACATTATATTTAATGTCCCTCTTCTGGAGATGGTATTTTTCCATTTCCTGGACAGCAAATCCAAGATTCGGTTCGGAGCACCTCACGGGAACCCCCTGCAATCGTCGGTCCAAATGATTCGAGGGTGGGTGTTCTGAGAAACACCACCTGCTGTGGCTGAAAGGGAGCTTTTGCTTCAAGAGGGTCCAGGGGTGGTTTACCCTGAGTAAGGTCACCCTACCTGTCATCACTCTTAATGTCACACAAACACGCAACCCCTCCTTTTTTTTGGCGAACTGACTGCAGGTGATTTCATTGTGAGCACTTCCAGGTCAAACATGTTCGTATCGGAGCCACCCCGAACCTGTGAAACCGGCGCCCTCCTACAGCCATGTTTTCCTTGACTATAAGGGGGGCTTTCGATGCCACCCGGGATTTTGGGGAGCCGGCTCTGAGCTCCTCACGCCCTCTTCCCACTGGCCACAGTTTCTGGGCGCCGGAGCTGATCATGGGCGAAGAAGGCAGCGGCTCTGGAGCTCTTTGGGTTTTTTTTCTGGAAGAAGTTGAAGCGGCACTCTTTTTCCCGGAGAGTCTCCACCATGGGACCTTGATTTTTGGAGGTGCTTCATTTCGCAGGGAGGGGAATTGCACACCGATTTTGGGCAACGCCAAGATGTCAAGAAAAAGGTCAAAAGAAAGGCGAGTGCTTTGGCTGACCATTTGGGTTCATTGTGGCGCCCTTGGTCGCACCCAGCAGCAACTGTTGAGCCCCCAATTTCTTTAGCGCTCTAGCCTACCTCGATGAGCTGGCTCCACACAGCTACCCTGGTGAGGTCACTTAGGCGTGTAAAAAGGTCTTAGGGGTATCCGAGAAGAGCCACAGCGAAGAACCCAGGAATTTTGCGCATGTACAGCAGCACCTCATGGCAGCAGCACCTCATGGAAAACCATGACACACATGCTAGCCAGAAGAGTCTCAGACTGGGCTAGCAAAGGACGGTGAGACGGTGTTTGGGCTAGGTTTGGGGGGTTGGTTGTAGGGAGGTACGACTGACTGAGCCTGACTCTAAAACACCCCTTTTGATGACAAGGCTTCCTCTTTTTGGAGAATCCGCTCAACACTTTCCTCCAAATGCTATCACGGGCACGTTGAAATCATAACAAAAAGCATTCGTAAGTCGATCCGTCGACAGGATGGACTGACAAGTGTCGGCTGCCTCTTCCAGTGGGGGTGGACTCATACAGCCCAAGAGCGGAATGAGCTTAGACACTTGAATCAAAGAATCATTACCGTACTTTTTTTTGATTGGTTGAAAGCACCAGTCTAACTTGGGAGCGGACATGATATTATGTAGTTGTGCACTGCAGCAAGAGGCAGGGCTCCGAGATTCATTGCAGTCATGCTGACCAGTCGCCCCAGGCGTCGTGCTTTTGAGGGTGACGATGCCTTTCGGTGCCTTTCGGTGCCCCCCCCGCAATGGCATGCAATGGCTACGTAGATGCAAGAACCCAACAAATTCACAGCGGCTATGAGCCAAGTCCTTGTTGTAATGAACAGATATGAATAGCAGGGTCTGAACATGGGCTTCTTAAGCCCTCAAGAGCTCCTTTTCAGCTGATTATGTAGACCTCTTTATAAATTTAACTTCCAATGAGCAGGGCTACGAGAGTGTGTGTGGGAATAGTCGACCCTTTGCTGGAGAGGGAGGGAGTGTCGCGCGGGCTACGGCCCCCCCGACGCGGGGGCAACACCTTTTCACACGGCCAACGAGCAGGCAGATTTTAGTTTTTTACTTTTAAACGCGTTGGACTGGGCACATGGGGCCGTGCAACCTCTTCAGGTGCAGTTTGCCTATAGCAAAGGTCTTCACCGTTCTGCAAGCTCCCACTACAACCCTTTGCCCAAGCATGCACAAACTTCGCGTGCCCGCACTTCGAAGCTGTCCCCACCCACTCCAGCAGTTTGGGACCTCGAGTCCAGTGATTCCGCGCAGGGCCTGAGCGGGACCCCATGCAGGACATGGGTTTCGACCCCTTCAAGACTGATGCGTGCGCGAGTTCGGAGACGACGGTGTGGATGGGACGAGGGTTCCCAAAAGACGTCGTGTCAAAAGGGTTGGTGGAGTATGGGTGCAGAATACTCCAGGTGCTTAGTAGAGCTTAAACACCACCCCTAATTCGGAACACCCAAATATTCGGACTGGTGCTTAGTAAGGAATAAGGGAATGGATCTTGAGGTATCTACAGGGGTGGTTCATTCCCTCATTCCCTACGAGTCGCACGAGTCTGTAGATTTCTCTGAAATCTCACATGGTGTGTTGCGATCGATGTTTTGTTCATGTCTCATGTCAGCTGCAGAGATGCAAGAGCAGTTTTTGTGAGTTGGTGATGTTGATCTTGTCGTTTGGCCGGAACCCTTGACATCAACTGATACGACAACATACCGGTTGGGTTCCCACTTTGTTTGCAACCTGGTGGTCTAACATGCGTAAACTGGTCAGACAGATCCGTTCCCGTTGTGCTAGGTTCTCGACCAACACTCCCCATGCAACTATGGGTTTGCCAAAAACACATTTGACATCATATATCTGTTCCCCAATAGCCATGCTATGGGGTCTTGCAAAACTAATAGGCGGACGGGCGTCGGGTCACCGTCAGAGCTGGTGGGCGGATGGTGTCCCGGTCATGTTGTGATAGTGTCCCGGTCATGTTGTGATGGTGTCCCGGTCATGTTGTGATGGTGTCCCGGTCATGTTGTGATGGTGTCCCGGTCATGTTGTGATGGTGTCCCGGTCATGTTTTGATGGTGTCCCGGTCATGTTGTGATGGTGTCCCGGTCATGTTTTGATGGTGTCCCGGTCATGTTTTGATGGTGTCCCGGTCATGTTGTGATGGTGTCCCGGTCCTGTTTTGATGGTGTCCCGG